TCATCCTCTGTGCCCTGGGGGTGCTGGACACAGATTTCCCTCCCTGATTCCCTGAGATCTGGGGGTCCCTGCAGTGTTTGGGGTCTGCATTCCCACTGTGGGCATCTCACAGGGTGTGAATCCCTCACACATGGGGCATTTCCACGTTTCCTCTGTGTTTTGCTCTCATCCTTTCCAAAGCCCAGCCCCAGTCCCTGGGGATTTGCTCTCTTTGCCTCCTGCTAATTTGGGATAACTGATTGGATACACATTAAAGCCATTGAGGATTTTCTCCCCTGGGGCTTCCCAGGGCATGTCTCACTGTTTTATGCCTTTGTTTAACTGGATAATAATTCCATTTATCATTGTCAACATTTTCTTTTTTGTCTTTCAACCACTTGAGGTTTTTTGCTTAATAATCCAGACTATTATCCTTTTGTCCTAGCTGATCATCCAAGACAAAAAGAGGAGAATTTGGAAGGAAATCTCTCATTCTCTTTATTTTTAAGGTGTGAAATAGGTCATGTTTTAAGGTTCATTGTCTGCTGAACTGCATGAAAAGCAAAAATCTTGGCTGAGGGACCCCCACACCAAATATTTCCTGGGCAGGGAATGGGGTTCCCTGGATAAGTGTGGTTTGTGCCTCACACCTGCAAATCCCACAGCATCCAGAAAGGGATGTGGCAAATGTGAAAATTCTTTTAAAGGAACCACAAAAGGAGAGGGAAAAAGCCCCCAATTTTTAATGGATTTAGGAAAGCCAGGGAGTTCTCATTTTTAAGATATGCAGGACAGCACGTTTTTATTTAAGATTGATTGTGAGTGACAGAAATGTGAGAACTGTGTAATAACGCTGGGGAAAAATATAATAAAATCCTGTTGCTTCCTCACAGCCCCCAGACAATGGCTAATTGTTCTAATTTGGGTCAGTCCCCTGCTGAGCTGCAGCAGGAATCCTTCACCAGGGCTCTTTAATCATTAACATTGGCCTCTTTTCCACGGAGCTTGGCCCCAGGGCTCTGCCCATCCCCAGGGATTCTGCTCCTGGAGGAGGAGCAGGGATTCATTTTTTAATGAAAACAAATTAATTTGCTGTCACATCTTTATCACCTCCTTTGAGCTCTCTCTCCTTTTGGAGCAGCCCTGAAGTCCACTTCGGGGACCCAAATCTTGCCCATGGGGGGATGCAGGGAGAGCAGGCAGTGACCCCAGGGTTATTTATCCACAGTGGAACCACAGCCCTGCTCATTTCAGGATTGTTTTTCCCTGGGGAAATCCCCCTGCCCTGCAGAAAAGCCAGGAAGGTGCTCAGGAGTGGTGAAAGGTGCTGGGTGATGCCTCAGCCACGGGGTCAGGACACAAATCCCAGCTCCAGATGTGTGGCTGATGGATCTGTAGGAGCTCAGTGCTCAGGAAAAGGGCACATCCCAGCTTTTTTCCCTTTTTTTCCTGTCAGCAGCATCAGCTGGGAAAGCTGGACTCTGTGTGTGTGTGGTCTGTCCCATCTCCCCAACCCTACCATGCAGTTTTCCTCCCACAGTTTGAAAACCAGATAAAAAATGCACATTCCCACCCCTTGTGTGATGTTAGAGGGGCCACATCTTGTGTGAGGCTTTTCCTGTGTGTTATTTCAGGAGAGCTTGCTGCTGGGATTGGGCTCTGGTGGTGAGAAAATGCAATTTTTGTGTTTGGTTGTTGTCCTTTCCATGGAAAGGGCACTCAGGGTTTCCCAAAACCCAGCTCTGTGGGATTCAGGCTCTGCAGGTTGAGGTTTCCCTGCCCTCTGACCACAAAAAACAGCTTTGTATTGACCTTCCATGAGTGATGTGATGCAGACTGATGGAGATGTGGCAGAAAGAGCTTTTGGCCTTGATTTTGATGTTGTGGGAAGCAGCAGCATCTACCCAAAGGGGTTTGTGACTTTTTTTCCATCATTCCTGAGGGTGCTGGTGGTGCAGGGCAGATTTGTTATCCCAAGGCAGAGGGAGCGTCCCACAGGAATTCTTGCCATCATCCCTCCCCTCATCCCAGGGGTCTCCCCATCCCCAAGAGGTTCAAACCTTGCCAGCACGAGCTGGGCTGCTTTTAAAGCTGATTTTAAAGCTGATTTTGAAGCTGATTTTTACACTGATTCCCTTTCCAAACAAGCTCTTGGGCTCAGTCCCACCAGGGTGTGTGTGTCAGCTCCAATTATTTCCTGATAGACTTGGATCAGGAACAGGGAAAAGCTTTTGTTTGGAGTCCTTGGCACAGCACCAGCAAAGTCCCTTCTCCTGCACATGAGTTTTGGGGCTGCAGAGGTTTGGGTAAAAACCTAAAAAATGGAGTTTCCTGAAGCACAGAGTTTGTGGGAATGAGATGTGCAGAAGGAAGGAGCCCAGCCTGTGCATTAGGAGAGCTCTGAAATGAGAATTTTATTTATTGTTATATTTCTTTTTTTATCACAAAGTTGATGTCTGCAGGAATCATGTGCTCTAAATCATTTATTAAAGCCCTCAAAATAGAAATATCTCAGGATCTACAGGGCTTGGGATGTGAGCTTGTGAAGAAAAAGGGCTGAAAGGGTGGGGATGCTGGATGTGGAGAAAGGATTAAAATATTCCTTGTCCTGCTCCTGTACCAGCATGGATGGGCTTGGTTTGCTTTGGGCTGAATTATTCACGAATTGGTTTGATGGGAAGTTCAGGCCTAAGCTTCCCTTGGCCATCTGGAGGTCTTGAGAGAAAAAAAAAAAACCTCATCAAAAACCTCAAAAAACCTCATTGGAGAGGCAAGATGGCCATGACACACCTGAACCAGCAAAAATTCATGCTTTTTTATTTTACTTTCTCAGCTTCTCCACATTCCTCTTGTGAATCATTTCACTTCCCCAACACTTCAGCTGGGATAATGCTGGAGACAGCTTGAATTGTCTCTTGCAGGGTTATTTTGGAGGGAATTTGCAGCACAAAATGGCAGCAATGTCCTTCCCCCTCAGGATTTTAACACTTTGTTTCCTTTTCAGCATCGGTTCTTCAGGGAGGCCTCAGAGCTGGAAACCCCCACTCCTCCCTCAGGGTGGATCTGCTGTTTCAGGGGCTGCTATGCTTAAAAATAAAAATAATAATTAAAAAAGCAGATGAAATAAAAGCTGCTGGCTCTGGCAGGTAAAAAAAATTAAAAATATAGAGAGGTGACAAAATCTGTGGTGTTTTCTTCTCATGTTGGGGCGGGTGTTTCCACAGCCGGGAAGGTGTTGCTGGCAGTGTTGCCTTCCCAAAATGTTTTGAGGCTCTAATTAAAGAATTGCCTGCTTTTCAAGGCTTTCCTGAGGGAAACATGAGGTAAAATCCTGCTTTTCTTTATTTTCTCATTGTTCATTCCACAGCTTAAGCCTCTCAGGGTTCATCCAGGCCCGGGCTTGGTTTTTGCCACAGGGCCTGCAATGGGAGAGGAGCTGTGGGGACGCCTGAGGGATGAAATTTGTGGGATAAAAACCCAGATTTTGGGTTCAGCTTGGTGGTGAATGAGGTGTTGAAAGGCAGGGGTTTAAATGTGTCCTATAAACCCAGATTTCCTGGGCAATTTCTGCCTGAAATCCCCTGGCACTGCTGTCCTCAGTGCAGGTGGAGCTGGGCAAGCACCACCCTGGAATTATCAGGGAAAACACCTGGAATTACCAGGGAAAACACCCTGGATTTATGAGGGAAAAATCAGCTGGAAATTCAGCTTGTGATTCATGGGAATCACCATGATATATCTGGGAACAAACCCTCCCAATTTATATCAAGGCTTCATTCTTAGAGTGGAGTCAAACCCCACAAATCCTGGTTGATATTTCTGCCTCAGCCACCTGCAGTGATGTCCTGGCTTTGTGGTTGTTGTGTTTTCTGGTTTTTTTAACCTGAGAAAACCCGCTGTAATTGTTTCCCTGTACACCCCCAAGTGATTTGTCAAAATCCCAATTGCTCCCAGGTAATTCAATATTTATGATGTCTTTATGAGGCCAGTTCTGCTCCACTGATGGAGAGGTGAGGGGGTGAATAAATTGCATAAATTGCATAAATTTCATAAATTAGGGGGCAAAAGCTGAGGTCTCAGGGAGGATGTGAAGGCAGCAATAATTGGCTGTCCAGGCAGAGGAGATACAGAACCTTCCTCAGGATTTTCCCAGAAAATCCTGAGCCATCCCCATGGCTGAGCAGCCCAGACTGACTGTTTATTGTAAGGTTTAATCTTTAATTCCTGTGTCTTCCCTAATGATGTAACATTTTGATAAAACCAGGCAGACAGCACAAATTGTCGCATTTTGAATCTTTTTTTATCATTATTGATCTTTCAGTCAGGCTCATATCTGCCTGTGACCTTTCAGAGAGCAAGAGAGGCACTGCAGGATGGGTGGTTGGAATTACTGGAATGCAGCTCATCTGTATGAAAATCCTGGGGTTTATTTTATAAAAATAAGGACTAGGTTTTATTTTATTTTATTTTTAGGACCCAAAATTTCTAGACCCAAATCCTTAGAAACTCTCAGAGTTGAAGTTTTCCAAGCCCAGCATCCCTTGGGATGAAAATTTGATCCAAAATCGAGAAGACACCACATTTCTTCATGTTTTTATTTCTCCTAACAATTAAATGTTGTGAGATTTTTCTCTTCCCAAGACTCCATCTGCTCACAAAGTCTCTGGGAAGCGATTTTTGGTGGTAATGGGTGGGTGATTTAACCAAATTTAATCAATCTTTGCCAGATTTTTGCGCTGGAAGCTGTTGTGTGGTGTCGGATGGTAACGGTGGGATAATAACAATATGATGATGATGATGATGATGATAATAATAATAATAATAATAATAATAATAATAATAATAATTCCTGCAGAATCTTAGCACTCAGAGAGGTTTTTTCCCCCTTTCTAGACGGTTTTAAGGGTGGTCCCTCAAGGTTTCCCAGCTCCAGCTGGAGCCACTCTGGGCTTGGGGCAGCCCCTGGGTGTGATGGCAGTGCTGCAGAGCTCTCACCCTGTGTCCTTTCCGTGTTTTTGCAGGAAGGGGACTCCCTGGGAGCCATGGAGAAGCTCTGCAGGCAGCTCACCTACCACCTGAGCCCCCACTCGCAGTGGAGACGCCAGGGCATCATGAAGAGGAAGCCGCAGTCCTGGTGAGTCCCTGCTGGCTCCCTGTCCCCACGCTGGCCTTGCCACCCCTCAGGGGCTGGGGACACTGGAGAAGGGAGTTTTCCACGATGGTTTTGGCAAATTTGGGAGCTGCCTGTTGCTCCTGCAGCCACAGGAGGAGCAAATCCACCCTGCTCGGAGCTGGGGTGTCCCAACCTCCAGAATTCTCCTCCCTCTCCAATCTCACCAGAATTTCCCCCATTTATGGTTCCTTCATGTTCCCCCAGAGGTGTTTCCCTCTATTTCCATCTTCCTTTCTCTGTTGAACAGCACTTCAGTGCCTGGGGAGGAGGAATGGTCTGGAAAACCTGAGCCATCCATCCTCCAAACATCCCTTGCCTCCCAAACTGCTCCAAGAGCTCCTAATTAGCTGGCAATTAATGTACAGGCACGTGTCACCATGCACACCGTGGCTTGCAGTGCATAGCAGGAATTTTGTTGTTAAAAACAGGGAAAAAATAACCCAAATCCCCTCCTTATCCATCTCCTCAGCAAAGCATTCCCATCTGGTGTCATCCTGGATCCACAGAGCTGAGAAACCTGTGGCTGAGGCTGATGAGAATGGAAAGGGCTGCTTGTTTTCCTTATGTTGGGCATTATATATTTATTATTTTTGCTTAAGGAAGCGAGAAATAGAAACAAAGCTGCAATCTGGGAGAGTCAGGATTTGTATCCAGGTGCTGGCTCGTGGTCCCAGGAGAGTTTTGGTTGTAATGGAGCTGTAGTAGGAATTAATCCAATGAAAAAAACTGGGATAGGTAAAGAGAGGGGAGGAGTGGTCACAGGAGGAAAAAAAGACACAAGGAAATCAAGGATTGAGTGGCCAAATAGGATTAGGAGCACATTTCCCAGGGATCTGGCTTATCATCCTCACAAAGTGATGCCCTGAGAGAGCAAAACGTGGAGAAATGTATTGCACTAGCAGCATTAGGAGAAATGTATTTCACTGGAATTGTTACCCACATTTTTGGTGGGTTTTAAGGTGTATTAATGGCTAAAATCTGCATTTTCCAATAAAGCAGCAGAAACTGGGGGAGTGCTGGAGCTCCCAGGCTGTGTCCTGGGGGCACACGGAGCTGTAATGACCCAGCAGCTCATTAACCCTCCGGGGTTTCCTCTTAATTAGAGTAGGAAATGCTCACCCCTTATCCCCCCATTGTTCAGGTCACTCTGCTGCTGCATCCGAGCTCTTTACAGCCCCAAACCACCCGAAATCCTTGGAAATGACAAAACCTCGAGCCCTGCTTTGTGCCCCTCTGTCTTTAATTACCAATCCCCGTCCTTAATCCCCAGCCCGGGATCAGCGCGGTGAGAGCCCAGCCTCGTGCCCGAGATTTGCAAGGCTTTATCTGCAGCTTTTCCTTACAGCAGCCGGGAAATGGCTGAGGTTTCCCAGGGCTTTAGGGGCAGGGATGAGGTTTTGGGATCAGGTTTTGGGATGAGGTTTTGGCTGCCAGCGAGCCCTGAAGTGACCCAGTGCCAACGTGGGCTGCTGGTTCTGCCCCAGCCAGGCTTTGGAGGGTGGGATTTTCCTGCATTTCTGGTTTAGATGCTCTTTTAGGAGGTGGCTGTGAGTTGAACCCTTTGCTGGAAGGTGAAGTCAGTCTTGTGCTGAAGTCTAAATGCCATAAAACAGGGATTTTATAGCGAGCATCCTGCTCTGGGCTGGGCTTTCCAAGTGCACAAGGGAATTGTGAGCTCCCATTCCCAGGTGCTGGCATTGCCCTGACTCAGCCCTGCTGCCAGGTGTTGCAGGAACTCCCCAATATCACAGATCCACCCTTTTTCATGTGTGTGTTGCAGGGAAAATCGCTTTCCTTCATCCACACCCACATCTCCACTGCAGGTGGGAATGGGAAGCAGAGCAGCAGCACAGGAGGAGGATGGGCACAGAGGATGGAGCTGATTTTTTGGCCAGGCAGAAGGAGAGAGGCTCTGCTTCCTAATCCCAGCTCCTCCCAGGCTGGGTGTGCTCCCTAAATCCAGGCAGACATCCCCAGCCCTGGCACAGCAGCACCCAAACCTCTGCCAAATGACCTTATTTATTTTTTTGGCACGTTGTAAATCTGTCTGGCTCTCCCTCGCTGTCTCCACGCCTCCCTCGGAATACATTCAACATCCAGGGATGAAAATCGGGGGAAGCCAACAGCAGCAGGATGGAGGCAGCCTGCTAAAACCATTTCCCTGTGCCTGGCTCTGCTTGGGGACAGGATTCCAGCCCTGGAATCTCCCTGCTCCAGGAATTTCCCTGCTGCTGTCGGCATCACAAAGGCAAACCGGGAATCAAAGCTCCCCTAGGGCTGGGAGCAGGAGGTGTTTCCAGGGGAAACCATCCCTGGGGATATCCCGGTAGGAATGAGGCAGGAATGCAGCAGAGAGGATGGGGCAGTGGGCAGCAGCTGAAGGAATATCAAATATTCATGTTGTAACTCCAAATTTGCATCAGATAAACCAAATATCTTTCTTTATACACACAATTCTTGTTAATGCCCCTGCACCAAGCAGGAGAAGAATTTAGGGTGAAGCAGCTCACTTTAAATGGAATTAAATGAGGTCAGTCTGGACCTAAATTTGTAGATTTTTTCACCCTGCTGCTGCTAAGAGAAACCCCCAAATGCTCATACCAGCCTGACCCAATGTGGCATTTTCTGCACTTTCTAACCCCAGTTTTCATTTCACAGCTCCCAGCCCTCACTTCTGCAAATCCCTCAGTGCTGGCACCTGGAAAGAGCCAGGAGCTGATTCTCTTCTCACTTCTGGCTTTTCCAGGTGGTTTTCCTGAGCTGGGTTTCTCCTGGGTTTTCCTGAGCTCCAGCCCATTCTTTTCTTTGCCACTTGCTCTTTCTAGTGACACCTGTGACTCAGCCTGAACTCCTTTCACCCTCTGATGTGAAATCACCTTGAAAACAGCAGGAAAATGAATAATTTGGGACAGCTTTTGGGAACGTAGAGGCTCTGTGAGGCTGTGGCAGATTTAACCCCTGGTTACCTGAGGGTTGGATGTTCTCCATGGCATTTGGCACCCAGGAGCAGAGACCTGTTGGAACAGAAGGTGTTTGGATTTAGAGATGAATTTACAGGGGTTGAGCAGCTTTATTTTGATGGCAGGAATGATCTTTTACCATCCCACTCCTGATTTCAGCAGGGGCACAAAACATTTCTGTCTTGCAGGAATGCTGGGTGCTGGGCTTTCATGTTGGCAGTGCCTGCTTGCATTGCTTTACAGAGGAAAAAAACAATTTAAAAATGAGTTTTCATGGTGGGAGAAGCCCTTTGGAGAACAAAAGGGAATGTTTGTGGTGGAAATCCTCCTCTGCTGTGGCAGCTGGTGGGTGAGTGAGAGGAGTTGGAGCTCCTGCAACAAAAGGTCCCTTCAGAGCACCCAGCACAGAGCCAGGTGGTGGGAGGAGGCTGGAGCAGGGGCTCCTGGCCATTAAAATCCCATTTCTGTGTGTGTGTGTGTGTGCTGGAGCTGCTGCAGAGAGCAGGGAATGTGGGAGTGGAGCCTCTGGGATGTGTGTGGGTGATCCCTTCTCCCTGTGCCCATGGGATGCCATTCCATGCACATTCCAGGGCTGGCCCAGGGAGCTGAGGGGACACAGGATGCTCCAAATGCTCAGAACTCAGTGCTTTGGGGTGGTGGTGAAGTTTTCCACCTTTTGCAGTGGAAAACAGGAAATTCCCAAACCTCTCTGCTCTGTCCAGCATGGCCTGAGGCTCTGGGGATGGAGAAAAGCAAAGTTCTGGTTCCTGGTGGCTTTCCAGGTTGGAATGCTCAGCCCAGACTCAGACACACTCTCTAATAAATGTCTAAATGTGATGGGAAGGCCTGGAGTGACAGAGAAATGAGCTAAGATTTTCTGAGAGAGAGTGGAAAACCTTTGGGAGACGCCTTTGGTTTGGTGGAGTTCACACAGGGCTCAGCCAGTGTAATAAATTGGGAATATTTCCTGTGCTTTGGCAGAAATGTTTGGGAATTTGTGGTGCTGGAGAGCAGGAGGGGGCTGGTCCCCACACAGCAAATGAGGAGCTTTGATGGGGTTCAGGGCACACAAAGAGGGAAAAAAGGAACTTTTTGAGGTACCAATAAGGAGTTGGGAGAAAAAGTTGGATGCAATTTTATCCCAGGATTGCCCTTTCCATCACCCCTGTCCTTCTCACCTCTCTCCCCTCCATGGCCATGGGGCATTGCCTCCATCTGCCCACTTTGGATTTTTATAGCTACTCAAGATGTGACTTTTCTCTTTCTCTTATGGCTGGGCTGGGAACAAACCCTGATGTGCCCTGTCAGTTCTGTTCCCTCCTCACCCTCTGCTCTGGGCTGCTGCCCTTGAGTTTATTCCCTTTGGCACCTCCCTGCTGCAGGCACAGTCCCACAGTCCCTGCTGTGTGTGTCTGTGCTCTCCTGGGCTGGGAATGTCCAAGCTGCTCCTTTGCTTTGTGGAAAATCCATTTCCCAAGATATCTGAACAGGAGCAGCATTTGGGGCTAGTCCTTTGCATTGAGATTTGGGATTTTTTGTAGATTTGAGTGGGGTGGGCAGGTTAAACCTGGGGTTAAATGTGCCCAAGCTGCTCCTTTGCTTTGTGGAAAATCCATCTCCCAAGATATCTGAACGGGAGCAGCATTTGGGGCTGGTCCTTTGCATGTTCCTGGTGGGATTTGGGATTTTTTGTGGATTTGAGTGGGATGGGCAGGTTAAACCTGGGGTTAAATGTGCCCAAGCTGACTCCCAGAAAAAAAGGGAAAATCCCAACCCTCTGAAACTGGGATGCAGCTCCCTGGAGCTCCTTGTTATGTAGAAATTCCAATGAATCTTCTCCAAAAATGCTGTTTAATGTGCAAACAGCTCCTCTGGCAACCCCAGGGTTTTGTGACTATGGTGAAATGCTTTGTCCTGGTGGGAATGGAAATGTGATATTGGAGGGAAGAGGAAGAACAGGCCAACAATCATCCAGCACAGGCTGAGTGGGAAGAAGGGAAG